CAGTCATTCTAAAACAGTACAAACCCACTACACCCCTACAGTCGGTCATTCTGAAACAGTACAAACCCACTACACCCCTACAGTCATTCTGAAACAATACAAAACCCTCTACACCCCTACAGTCATTCTGAAACAGTACAAAACCCCTACACCCCTACAGTCATTCTGAAACAATACAAAACCCCTACAGTCATTCTGAAACAATACAAAACCCCTATACCCCTACAGTCATTCTGAACAAAAGCAAATGATCTGGTGAGAATAATCACGGCCCGTGTTCAACCGCGCCACACCACTGATTTACCAGTGCTGTATTAATATAAATAAAGGCGAGTCACAGTCGCTGCATAATCGCAATACTAGTATTTTGCTCTACTTGGAAGGGAACTTACTTGAATACACAAGGAAGCAGAAGTGTGAAGCTAATGCCTGTTAACTATTATCTCACATTTACATGTGTTCGACCACAGTCACACGGGTGTGGACGCTACGGCACAACACCTGTCCCACCCTGCACTGTGATAACAGCATTTATATCAGGATATAGACAGTACAGCGAAATGAACAGGACAACAGCAGAAACTGACCACTGCAAAAAATCTTGGCAAGTGAAAACATCTTAAATGTAGTCAATAAATCTATTATTTCTCATTATGAGGCTGTTATAAGAATATTATAAGATTATTCCACCTGTTTCTACACATCTTTACTTGTTTTGAGTAATTTTATCAGTGAAAGTGTCTTATTCCATTGGCAGACTATTTCAAGAAATAATGAAGAAATAATGATGAATTATTTCTTGAAATAAACAAAATTATGTTTAAAGCAAATAAAATGATCTGCCAATGGAATAAGACACTTTTTAAAGACAAAATTGCTTAAAATAAAGTCAGAAATATCCAGAAATAAGTTAAATAATCTTACAATATTCTTACAACAGTCTCCTAATGTGAAATAGCAGATATATTTACTACATTTAAGACGTTTAAACTCACTAAGAAATCATTTTTTGCAGTGACAGCAGATCAACTGTCCGCTGATGTGTTCGTGATCTTTATGACAGCAGCTGTCGCTTCACTCACGAGCTATCAAGTGTCAAAACATTCAGGAATGGCAATTTCAGCACTGTTTATATTCATTTCTGACCAAATGTGGCTAAAACTACATATCCCAGCAGGCCACACTACAAAATAAATCACAGTTGTCGTCAAACTACTCCTTTACGACCACTGTAATGACCTGCTCCTCCAGCGTCTCTCCTGAAATGAAGGGTGTTAACAGTGAGTTTGTGCTGCAGTAACAGCCTCTACTCTTCTGGGAAGGCGTTACACTAGACTGAACATTGCTGTGAGGATTTGATGGAGCGTTAGTGAGGTCAGGTACTGATGTTAGGTGGTCAGTTCTGGATCACTCCCAACTCATCCCAGTGGTATTGGATGGAGCTCCATCACTCCAGAGAAATCAGCTCCACTGCTGCACAGCCCAATGCTGGGGGGCTTTACACCCCTCTAGATCACACAGGGCATTGATCATGGTGACCTCAGGGTCAAGTGCGGCTCCTCCAGAGTGTCCCATTCTAATGGTCAGCGCATTTCTATGGAAATACAAGATTTGTGCGCAAACTGAGCACCTGTGCAGCGGAAGGTACACCTAACGGTAGCTGACGTCACTCAGTAGCTGGGCTTTCCGGATCATTTTGGACATCCAGTGTGTCAGAGTGACCTGTGAAGTGTGAAAAAAGGTGATACGTGAAGCGGCACTTACTGCGGATCTGCCGTTTGATCTCCTTAGTGGGATCCAGCCAGCACTGGGGAAAAAAGGGGGAGAGAGAGAGAGAGAGAGAGAGAGAGAGAGGGAGAGAGAGAGAGATGGTTACTCAGTGATCTGCATGGAATTGACCTACATTTTCATATAATTAATACATATTCGGTTAATATTTAAAAATATGCAACCCAAAACGTCACTGGATTCGCACTAGAAAGGTAACACGTCTATTCTGATACACTGTCCTTGAGAGGTTCTAGCTAAAAACTAGTTATACTGGGTGGTTACTGTCACTTAAGGCCAAAATGATTGGGTAAAATTATTATAGGTTATTAAAAACAAGATAAATTAAAGATAAAAGGCCATCTGTTGGTCAGGCGATGACGAGGTTGAGGTTGTGCCCATAACAAAAATACTGGACTTTAACTTGAGGATAACAGTTAACAGGGAATTCCAGTCATTTTCCAAAATTTCTGCATAATTCAGTGTGTGAGATGTAATCAGAGAGATTCAGAGTGGTTTGGTGTGAAATGGTTCAGATGTCTTTACAGTGGTGGTGATAGGAACCAGGGGTTGCCATGACTACAACACAGATATAGGCAGTGAATTCATAACCATCTCATGTAGGAACTTTCTGTGAGGGAGCTTTTAGAGGTGGACGTCTGGTTCCTATCACCACCACTGTGAACAGTTCTGAAGTAAGTTTCTCTATATTCTTAAAAATACGGTGCTTCAAGGGTTCTTTAGTAAAGGAAATGGTTCTTTATAGAACCATGAACACTCAAAGAACCCTCTGCATGATTAAAAGGTGCTCTGCATCATGAGAGAGTTTTATTTCAGATTTATGGAAAATGTGCTGTAGATGGTTCTATACAGAACCACCTTTTTGAAAAGGGTTCTATATAGCACCCAAAAAGGGTTCTTCTATTGTTACGATGTCAAGCTTGCAACAGTAGAAGAGACCAAAATGCAAAATGCAAGAATACACCCAAAGGGGAACAGCCTACATTTTGGTTCTTAAAGGGTTCTTTCATAAAAAAATGATCCTGTATAGAACCAGGAACATTCAGAGAACCATCTGCATGCTTAATGGATTCTTTCCATCATGACACGGTTCTTCAGACGGATAGAGAATGTGTTGTATGTGGTTCTATATAGACCCTTTTTGAAAGGGGTTCTATACAGCATCAAAAAGGGTTCTTCTATTGCTATGAGCTTGACATCGTACCAACAGAAGAACCCTTTGGTGCTAAACAGAACCATTTTTCAAAAAGGTTCTACAGCACATTCATGCACATTTTCCATCAATCTGAAAACTCTTTCATAATGCAAACAACACTTTAAGCGAGCAAAGGGCTCTTTCAGTGTTGATGGTTCTATATAGAACCATTTTCTTTACGAAAGAACCCTTAAAGCACCACGTTTTTTTAAGAGCGTAGAACAGAGCACATCACACCAAACCACTCTGAGTGACTCTGTTTCCTATGGAGAAAGCCGAGGGAAGAGCCCTTTAACAGAATTCCTCGGACAGTGAAATTAGAGGAAAAAACAGAAAAACAGAAAATACCGGCTGAGTGGGTTAAAGGAAAACTCCACTCCTGCTGTGTTATGAAATGTTTGGGTTGGACGCTCCCTCTCGGCTGTAATCACGCCACCCCGGCCGGCCGGCCGGCTGCGGCCAAACTAAAGTAACATTTGCTCGAATTCCTTGGCTTCTGTCACAGAGGCTCTGCTCTTCTGCATCCAGAGCGCTCCACCCCTTTAACGACAGCACAACAAAGCAGCTACCTCTGCGGGTTAATCCTCTCCTCTCTGCAGCAACGTGGCCAGTGTGGACATGCACGCACACCGACTGATGAGATAAAGGGGAATTCCACTGAACTTTTAAAATTTCAGTGTAATTAAACGGTTGAGATGTAAACAGAGTCGTTCAGAGTGGTTTGGTGTGAAACGCTCTGTTCTAGAGAAACTCAGAGTCAGAACTGTTCACAGAGATGGTGATAGGAACCAGACGTCCACCTCTAAAAGCTCCCTCACATGAAATGGTTATGAATTAACTGACATAGTTTTGAGAAGATTTTGGCCTTAAACTCCATTCATGATGGAGGGATACATACTAGTCCCCAATAAAAGATATTATTTCAGATTTTCTGCTATTTTCTCATCATCAACATTCCATATAAACTCAGAAGACTCGTGTAGGTTCACTGGTGGTTCTGGATAGTAAATAAAATGTCTATATCTGTGTTGTAGTCATGGCGACCCCTGGTTCCTATCACCACCACTGTAAAGACATCTGAACCATTTCACACCAAACCACTCTGAATTCCTAAAAATATAATATTTATTATTTAATTCTTGTTAAACAATTTTAGATCATTTCTATTGATTGATTCCTCACAATATGTTCACTTAATGTACAGGACAGTGAAAAAAAAAGTAAATAAATATCAATCCTGTAAAATATGTAATGAGATACTAATGAGATATTTGCATATAATCCCAGTTCCAAATCCTGATCTAAAACTCCAGATCCAGGTCTTTGGGTTCAAACTCGATGTGTGAAGTAACAGCTTTGGTGGACGAACGGAGGCGTTTATGTAACAGGGCAGAGCTCGTGGTGTGAGCGGTGTTGACGTAGATGTGGTCACTAACAGATGTGGGTTTGGAACTCCTCCCAGATCAGCTGCAGGCTGGAGAACAACATCCGCCGGGAAACACAGGGATACAACATCATCACTGGTGTTTCCATAGCAACAGTGGAAGGTCAATTTCCAGACCAGAGCTGATATCTGGACACATCTGACAGAATATGTTCGTAATCCTAACGAGCCTAAATCAGGGAGAAATGACCCGTCCATAGGAGTTTGATGTCGCCTGTAAACACTGTCAAAAAGGCCACACTGTCCATCGAAACTAAGCAGCTCATTTTCAATTCACTGTTTTTGTGATGTCACAAAACCCAACACATTTACAGATCTTCACGATTTCAGCTCATAGCAGTTTAGCCTCCCTTATTCATGCTGAAGGTCTAAGCAGTGCTTCACTTCTGAACAAAACAAACTGAATTAAAGAAAACATTTTATAAATCCACATCTACCCTGTTTGGTGTGGACTTTTTCTTTAATTCGGTTCGTTTTGCGGGGTGTGAACACTCCAGCAGCACTCGAGTGCATGCTGAACAAACCAAATTAAAGAAAACGTTTTATAAATCCACATCTACCCTGCTTGGTGTGGACTTATCTAACTTTTTCTTTAATTCGGTTTGTTCTGAGAGGTGTGAACACTCCAGCAGCACTCGGGTATGCCCTAAACAAACCGAATTAAAGGAAAGCTCCAAACAGAAAAGGTGTCAAAACACCTTAAAACAGAAGATAGTTCGGAATTCTGTACCCTTTTTTTTTGGTCTGTTTAATTCTAAATAAGACTTATTTCATAGTTTAGAAGTCTTCGCTCTGAACCTAAAATAAGAAAATAGATACTGAAAATAAAGAGTCCAATCTTCATAGTTTATTTGATATATTTACCAATCAGGCCTGTTTGAAGTTATAGATTTGTTTTGATTCCTCAAAGCTTTTCAGCTCACTGATAAACCCAACAAGCGAAGCTTTTAAACGTCCTCTTGAATCCATGTTCATCTCCGCTAGTTTGTTTGCTTCGTTTACGGAACCATTAAGAGAACAGCTTTGGCTTCGGCATTGATCAGCGACAGTCTGCTGGAACACTAATAGCCGATCAATACCAGCCACACATCAATGCTGCTAAAAGCTCATGTGTAAGATAGTGGGATGCAGGGAAACAGACATCAGCACTAGCATGCAGCATAAAGTTGTTCCAACATGCATTGACATTTACATTCATATGAATAATAAAACTTGTAGCTAAAATTAGCTACGTCGTATTTTTTCCCTCCATATGAACCCACAGTGGTCAGAAAAAGGTCAGACATATTAGACCTAGTGTAAAAGTTATTGCTCTGTAAGTTTAGTCACTGGTAGTGTTTAAACCCCACATGCCAAAAACACAAAGACAAATTAAACATTAATTTATGTTCTAATGTAAATTATATCCGTAATATTCTACCTCATATCTTTTACATCCAGTACTGTGCAAAAACTGGAACTAATAAGCTGCTTATCTGGTCAGTGAGTGTTTATTTGCTCAGAAAAACACTCTTATTAGAATAAATACAAATAGCATTAAGACAAGCAGCAACTTAATTTATGCCAATGTGTTCATTTTACCCTTTCCAAACTCCTCCTCGAGGAAGAACAGTATTATTTATAGTTATTAATCCATACCTGCTTTGGCTAATCAATACTCAAAAAAATAATGTGTTCTATTGATGAAATGTAATAAATCCATGTGAGGTCTGGTGGTGTCTGGGATAAACCTGGAACCACTGTTCTTCAAACTAGCTCAAAGTATCTCAGCAACTTTTTTGTAAACAAGAAATTCTTGTTGTTTTTTAATGTGTTTATGTTTATTAGCATTTACTCTACTGCCATACGGTGCTTTTCCAAATAAAACCCACTTAATGCAGAGATAAATAGTTACACAACGTGATTTGGTGCTTAAGAGTTTTGAACAGTTCTGAAAGTTCAGTGCTGAGCCTAGATATGCATTGTTTACTGTTTATACATGTTACATGTAAAAGAGTAGTACAAGTGTACAAACATACATACATACATCATCTAAACCGCTTATCCTTCTGGGTCGCGGTGGGGTGCTGGAGCCTATCCCAGCTGTCACTGGGCGGAAGGCAGTACAAGTGTAATGTACTCAAAAAGTACTTTTTCTAATACTTCATTTATGTAGTCTAAGTAATATTAAACACATGTATGCTACACCACAATGAAGCTTTTTTCTCTCCCAGAGTTCAAATTAGCACTAGCAAATGCTTATAATGATTATAAATCATAACTGATATTAGCTGTGTTTCAAAGTCTGGGCTGCGTTTCTCGGCCACTACGTCATAACAGGCTGTTCCAAAGTGAAGGACCCTTCGTTTACAGCCTAGAAATGCAGCCTACGTTCTGAGTGACGCAACTGATGTTTCCTTCAAGGCCTTCGGTTACCCACAGTTCTCCGAGCACGAACAACGCGAAGGAAAATAAACAGCACCATGAAAATGACGGAAAACGAAGCCGTTGGAGCAGAGCTTGATTTAGAATGTAAGCTGTTCACGTCCCTGAATTCGACTTCGTTACCTTATAAAGTGTAACATCTCTGATTAATTAAAGCTTTCGCCCGTATATCGTATTTTAATCCGAGGTATTTGTTTATACGTAGTTTATCGTACTACACAAGCTTGTTGGTGTATCAGCTACCATAGCAGCAAACACAACGAAACGGGCTCCATGTTCTCTCACCAGCTCCCTCACAAGTTTCACACTGCAATTGCAAGAGGCGGGGCCTTTCTAGTGACATCACCGCGCAGCCTCGTTGGGGCTGTTCCATTTCTGTGACCGACAGGCTGCTAAGGAGGAGTCTTCATAGGACAGTCCTACCGAGGAGCCGCCCTACCTCGGCTGCAGCCCAGGCTTTGGAACGCAGCCATTAAAAGATATGGAGGAAGATGCTCAGCTCTATAAGAGGCATATATGAAGGTAATGCGGACGGTCCACTCACTCTCTGGTCAGCGTGGTCTTTGAAGCTCAGGCCGAAGTAATCCTTCTCCAACAGGTTCAGATTCTCACAGACCTTAAAGAACAGGAACTGACCCTTCGCCCGTTTCTGTGGAGAGAGAGAGAGAGAGAGAGAGAGAGAGAGAGAGAGAGATAGAGAGAGAGATATTTAGGTCTACATGTAAAACCTAAAACTGTAACACACTGCAGGCGTCCATCAGCTCAGTCTGTTTCCTCTCGGAGTGAATGTCCACTACAATCAGCTCATCTGTGAAACTTAGTTCTGCACTTCTTATAATTTAGCTGAAATTAAAACTGACCCTTTCCATCCTGTTTGTGTTTCTGGTCACACACACACACATCATCTAAACCGCTTATCCTTCTGGGTCACGGTGGGGTGCTGGAGCCTATCCCAGCTGTCATTGGGCAAAAGGCAGGAAACACCCTGGACAGGTCGCCAGTCCATCACAGGGCAGACAGACAGACATACACATTCACCCACACACACCTAGGGGCAATTTCAGCATGTCCAATCAGCCTGACTGCATGTCTTTGGACTGTGGGAGGAAACCGGAGTACCCGGAGGAAACCCACGCAGACACAGGGGAGAACAGGCAAACTCCACACAGAGAGGACCCCGGTCGTCCGGCCGGGAATCGAACCCAGGCCCATTCTTGCTGTGAGGCGACAGCGCTACCCACTGTACCACCGTGCCACCCTGGTCACATTAAGCACATAAATTCTAGTTTTCCTGTAATCTTCCATTAAATTGGAATAACGTTTGCTCCTAAAACGTCTTCAGCTACCCATACTTCCACAAAAAGTGGAATTCAACCCTTTTTTTTCAAATTTCTGCATAATTAAAAGGTTGAGATGTAAACAGAGTCATTCAGAGTGGTTTGGAGTGAAACGCTCTGTTCTAGAGAAACTTACCGAGTCAGAACTGTTCACAGTGGTGGTGATAGGAACCAGACGTCCACCTCTAAAAGCTCCCTCACAGAAAGTTCCTACATGAAATGGTTATGAATTCACTGCCTGATGACTGAGACACTGTTTTATGATAGATTTGAGAAGTTCTCAGCCTTAAAATCCATTCATGGTGGAGGGATACATAATATGCAGGGTGCTGTGAGGCAAAATAGTCCCCAAAGAAAACTTATTATTTCAGATTTTCCACTATTTTCCATCATCAACATTCCATATAAACTCAGAAGACTCGTGTAGGTTCTGGTGGTTCTGGATAGTAAATAAAATGTCTATATTTGTGTTGTAGTCATGGCGACCCCTGGTTCCTATCACCACCACTGTAAAGACATCTGAACCATTTCACACCAAACCACTCTGAATCTCTCTGTTTACATCTCAAGGACTGAATTGTGCAGAAATTCTGCGAAATGGGTGGAAATCTGCATTTTAAAGTTATCATATTTGGACTCATATCAGCCTCCTGGAGGGAGACATTTGGGCTGGTCTGGTGTCTGCGTGACTCCTGAGGAATGAGGAGGCCAAATGCCGTCTGAAACGTCACACATAGAAGCGATTATCTGTCTCCTCCTCTTTGCTGTGTGTAAGAATCTTAGCCTCCAGCACAATGACCCCCCCCCCACCTCCCAAGTCAGAACAATGACCCCCCAGTCAGAACAATGACCCTGCACTTCAGCTTTATGAGAAACTGAGAGAGAGAATGGGAAAAAGTGAGGAGAGGAAAGAAAATGTGTGGCATTTTTCCGCGTTTGGGGGCCAAAGGACAGCAGACAGCTGGGGGACGATGGCGTCTGTCTCCGCACACTCACTCAGACACTGACGCTTTTGCAGGAGTTCCTCTTTCTCGACAATAGAGCACTGTTAGAGGGGACAGTGCAGACCTGAGCGCTGTGAGAGACGGCAGGGCGTGTGGCTTTTAAGAGGCATTACCTGTTCGGTTGCTGGGTTACTAAGGCTGCGTTCACACAGCAGGTAAAAGTGGCACAAATCCAATTTTTTTGTTTGTCTGTTCAGATTATCTTTTAAATGTGATCTGTATGAGACATCAGTCTGAACAGATCAGCTCCTAAACCGACCCACATGCACAAAAGAACAGAGCGTCGCGCTGCTTCACGGCTCATCCAGAGGAAAACAATCACGACCGCCAACGAACGCCAGTCGCTCCCAGAGGATCAGCTTCATCTTCACCAGCATCACAGGAGCCATCATGAAGCTTCACTGACTGACAGCTGGGCTCGTCACCCAGAATGTGTTCGAGCCGTAAAAAGGGCGCGGTCACTTCTTCAGACTTTTAACTGTTCTCTGACGCTGCAGCCTCGTTCTCCTGCGGCCGCGTTCGGACATTTCTTAAGAAATCTCTTCAAACACGGAGGGTTTTGGATGAGTCTCTTTAAATTTCGGTACAGAAACATCAGCCTAAACGTTTATGAGTCTCAGCAGTGCGAAATGATGGCGAATGTCAAGTTGGACTGACGTAAAAGTCACATGATTTCCAATCTGGTTGTTCAGACCGAGTCACATTGCTGCAGATACAAATTGGATTTCAGTACCACATATGAAAGCGTCTCAAATCGGAATTGAAAATGTCAGATTCAGGGTCTTTATCTGTTCACACAGACACACATCTGTGTCACATATGAGGAAAGAGATCAGATTTGGGCCGCTTTTACCTGCTGTGTGAACAAAGCCTAAGGCTACATTCACATCACCAGGCTGAAGTCGAACAAACATGATTTGCCCTAATGTGACTCAGATCTGATGTTTTCAGAGCTGTGTGGACACACAAATCTGATCTTTTCAAATCCGACCTGAGCCACTATGGATACGTTCACATTACAAGCCTCATTGCTCAAATCCGATTTTTTGCTCAGATCCGATCTCTCTGACACGATGGTGCACACTCATTTAGGTAAGTGATCCAAATCTGTCATGTGAACGAACCGGCGTCCTGAAATGACCCGCACAGTAGAAGCCATATCACCCCCTACACTTCCTGTAGTGTATTACAGTCTGTCAGAGTGACTGTGTGGATCATATGAACATTATAGAGCTTTTTAAATGAAACAATAGTAGCCATATCGCCCCCTACACTTCCTGTAGTGTATTACAGTCTGTCAGAATGACTGTGTGGATCATATGAACATTATAGAGGCTTTTTAAATGAAACAGTAGAAGCCATATCACCCCCTACACTTCCTGTAGTGTATTACAGTCTGTCAGAGTGACTGTGTGGATCATATGAACATTATAGAGGTTTTTTACATGAAACAGTAGAAGCCATATCGCCCCCTACACTTCCTGTAGTGTATTACAGTCTGTCAGAATGACTGTGTGGATCATATGAACATTATAGAGGCTTTTTAAATGAAACAGTAGAAGCCATATCGCCCCCTACACTTCCTGTAGTGTATTACAGTCTGTCAGAATGACTGTGTGGATCATATGAACATTATAGAGGCTTTTTAAATGAAACAGTAGAAGCCATATCGCCCCCTACACTTCCTGTAGTGTATTACAGTCTGTCAGAATGACTGTGTGGATCATATGAACAAACAAACCAGTCAATCAGAACTGAGTATTATGGAGGATTAATATCTGTAAATGCTGTTTATGCTGCACCAACACGGCAAGTCAAAGACACTTGAGTAACGACCAGGCAGAGACCATTAAAAACGGGTAAACACACACACTAATGGATTCTGGGAAGAGCAGCACTCTATTGATCAGGCAGAAGCCAAACACGGCCAGAGACATGAGAGTGCATTAGGAAAGCATACACAGCACCACGAACACGGAACATTACGGCCAGAAGATTTGAGGCTTTTATCAGTCAGAAAGCTCAGGGGACTCACGCACACAATCTGCTTATCTTTCACATCTTTCACCACTAAATAAATAAATAAACAACTAAATAGCATACAGTACTGTAGAAAAGTCAGAGACCACCATGCTGTTGTTTACTTTACAGCAAAAATGCCCATTAAGTAAGCTACAGAGATAATGAGGCTCCTAACAACCACCTGGAAGACCTGGCAGCCCCCAAAACTGCCCCTATCAGATAAACAGCACTTAAAGCTTTCATCTCTGAGAGAGAGGAGAAAATCAAGCTGCTTCAGATCTGAAAACATCCACAGGTGTTTCTGTCCATCCTTCCACTGTGAGAAGACGACTCAGCGCTGTGGGTCTGAAAGGATGTGTAGCTGTCAAGAAGAACCTCACTGAGAAAAGGAGACGGACACATCAAACAAAGAAGCTGAACGATGGACTGACCACCCCAGAGTCCAGACCTCAACACCACTGAATGTGTTTGATTACTTCAGAAAATGATCAACCAGCTTCTAAGACTGAACTTTGGAGGTGTGTCTGCAGATTCTTTGAGGAGCTGAAAGTGAGGCTCCTTCAAATGTCACTTTAGGGTCAAACTTGTAGAAATGAGTTAAACGTAATGGATCACGATTATCTGAATGGTTGACGGCCAAGAAATCACATTTAAATGTTATAAGAAAAAGAAAAATGATAAAGATTTCAGAGTGAAACTCTGACTATGTTTGCATCCTTAACGAACCTCAGCAGCCGTCAGTTCAGGACAAACACGCTCGAACACAAACACACACACCTGCTGCCCCTAAAGCCACCGACACCAGAGCACATCAAGAGGCGTTACTATAGTAACACACTCGGAGCATAATAAAGAGAGAGAGAGAGGAGGAGAGAGAGAGAGCATTTCAGGACAATAACTTAATGTTTATCAGAGGGAGAGAGAGCAAAGAAAAAGAGAGTGCAAAGAGACAGAGTAAAGAAACAGAGAGAGAGAGAGAGAGAAGAAGAGAGGGAGAGAGAGTAAAGGAACAAAGAGGCAGGGAGGGAGAGAGAGAGGGACAGGGAGAAAGAGCAAAGAGAAAGAGAGCAAGAGGGAAAGAGAGCATTTCAGGACAATATTGTTTATCAGAGAGAGAGAGAGAGGGAGGGAGGGCAAAGAGACAGAGAGAGAAGGAAAGAGAGAGCAAAGAGAGAGAGGGAAAGAGAGGAAAAAGAGAAAGTGGGAAAGAGGGAAAGAGAGGAAAAAGAGAAAGTGGGAAAGAGGGAAAGAGAGCAAAGAGAGAAAGAGGGAAAGAGGGAAAGAGA